CATGTTTGGAGTGGCCAGCATTTAGTCCCTACTTATCGACTTTTGGGCCGGGTGGTCAAAGAAGGTAAAGAGTCGCCCAGTGATGCCAGAGAATTTGCAGGAATTAAGGAGACTGTTGGATGAGTATGAAATTATTCCACAGCATTACCTTCAAAACCTCATAAAATCGATGCAACGTTGAATGCAAGCGGTCATCAAAGCAAAAGGAGGAAAAACGCCGTACTGAATTGAATATTTTCTTCATAGTTTCCATAGCAACATTTTTGGTAAAATTGTTTTACTCAGTTTAATTTTTTATTTAGTTATAACTTATATTTTTCTTTAAAACTATTCAGTAAACAAAAAAATAAAAATTATAAGGATTGCAAGTATTAACTATTAAAAAGAAGAGGGTGGCCAATTTTTTTGCCTCTCAGTGTATCATATATTCTAAATGTAATAAATTTTTATAGAACGATAAACTGTTATTTAAAAGGCCAAATCAAATCCTGCTTGTTTGAAAATAATACTTTTATCGGACTTAGGACGTCAATTTGATCGAGGTGCTTACCAAAATAAAATCCCTTCTTTAAAAAGGGTAAAAATCTTCGAGCTGAAAAGAATAATGTTTTTGTCTAATTTGGGCGATTTGACACAAATCCAAACTTGACAATTTATTACTTCTAAGTTACTGCATTAAATCATATCGTTTCAGTATCGGACGGAGCCAGCCAACTCGACTTTTCCTCAAACAGAAACGTGTTTTACGAAACCAAACAGGGAAATTTATATGTTTGTTTCTTTATAATTATTTGGCGAGTATGTGGCCAGATCATTGGCTCTACTTTATGCGCTTTATCGTGTTAAAAGCACTTTACAAACTTCACAATTTGTATCTTTAAAGTTATTAGACGGCAATGTTGTTCCATTTTAGCGTTGGACTGGACAGCCAACTCATCAGTTCACTTTTCTTTCTTTTTTATTTTATTTTTGCTAGAGAAGTAACATAACTTCTATCACAACATTCACTTTCCTCACTAAAAAGGAAATCTTTAGGCGTCTTAAGAATTTTCGGAAAAGGTTCAGGATGAAAGGTGTTGGACTAGGGAATTGGGATGAGGGTTTTATTGAAATGTCTATATTGACTTCTAAGGTTTTTAAGAATATTTTTTAATAAGGTTTTTGTAGATGTAGGGAGCTTGGGTAATGGTCTGAACAATTTGGAACTAGAGTGACGAGATATTTTGAAGATTGGAATGTTTGGTTGAACCCCACTTTTCGATTCCATACGTCCACATTGATTATAGTAGTAATGTGATTATTTCAAGTAGGTCTTTAATTGATGGAAAGTCCCAAATAGCATACAACATTGAATGATGAATAGACGGTGATACGACAAAGGGTGAAGGTTTTCAGTTTTGTTGACTAATCCTCCTAATTTCTTGAACCATTCTTACAAACAGAAAAGACGTGAGGTTTACGGTATCAGGATTGGTTAGAAAGTATGTAGTTTATATTGAATATAGAATGGGACCAAGGATGCTACCTTGCAGAACTCCCAGTTTGGGATAGTGGGTTAAAGGTTAATAGGAGTTAGTCTCTTTACGACCAATATTGATCTAATGTACAATACGCATTTTAATCAAGTGCCCTTCATTAAACTTAAGGTTTTTTCTAGAATCCAAAGTTAACGGCTCCCATGCATACCACGCCCCGGCTTTTCTATGCCCAGCAGTAGAAATCTCAATTTTCCTTCACACCAAAGATGACACGTTCCACTGTTTCTTTTTCTTTCTGCAGTTTTTCAACAGTCCTTGAGTTAGTATTTCTGATGTTATGAGTCCTTCGATGAACTTTTCTCATGCTTCTTTTCTGGAATACATTCCCATTAAATATATATTATACCATTGTTTACATTTATTATTAATATACTGTCTAATGTATCTACATTTTTGGCAATTTGGTATGCTGCAAAGAGTGCAGGGACGATAGGTATATTGATCGATTAAACCTTCCAATTCATTGCCTCTCAGCCCTGCTCAAACAAGACTAATTTTGTTGTTTTTCCAATGTCTAATATTAGACCAAATTGCAATCAAGTAGAATAGAGTTGTAGATTGGAGAAGAAGCACAGAGGATGGCGAGGTTAATTAAATCAAAAAGGGATGTGCGTCTCTACCCATGCTTGACAATTTATATCTTTTGTTGTTTTAATATATTATTTATTTTTTATTAATTAATTCTATGGCTAGCTTGAATATGGTCTCTATTCTCAAACCTTGTGAAGTACATTGTACAAATATGAAAGTATGACTCTTCTTGGTTGTTTGTTTTTTCTTATAAATTTAATTTTATTGTGAGGTCTAGGGTGATTAAAAACCAATACCTAATTATTCACTTGATTGACCCTATTTTACTTTCATATCGTAGAAAGTGCACTCTCCAAACTTGGCATTTTTAAAATCTAGTTGTAAATTGTTTGAAAATATCATAAATAAAGGATTATAGTACTACATTTTTTTTAAAGATATAGTTAATAATATATATAGTTGCAATAAAGATATAGTTCGTTGACCATCATTTTATTGGCCATTAAATTTTTACACTTGATAATGATTAATAAACATAACAGTTTCAAAAAATGTATTACACTAAAAGTTTACTATAAATTCCAACTTTATGATTGCAATAAATTTTAAATCTGATTATAATTGGTCATTTTGTGGGAAAAACTATCCCTAAACTTCAGAAATCAAATTACTTAATTACTTTAGCATTTGTTCTTGATGAAGAAATCAAATTTTAATTAATCTCTTAACAAAATTTAGTTATTTTTTAATATTTCCTTCTAGCAAATATACTTGTTCAAAATGGTTGAAGATTTTTTTTTTCATTTAACTTAACTTTTGAAAACCCAGAAGCCTACTCGCTCCCTGTAGAGCCAAGGTACCAGGTAGGTTTCACAGTAATATTTCTGAAGTATTTATTTTGAAATTGGACTGATCATATATCATGAGGATACTTGTGATTACTACAAAATTAAACCAGTTAGAATCAGATTATTACGTCCATGATACATTATTTGAACCTAAATTCCTTAATTTCTTCAATTTTAGTATAATTGTTTATGCTCTTAGGTTAGATTAGACTAGATTATATAGGAGTTGGCCTCTTTACGACCTGTGTGTATTGGTCTATTGTACATCTCCATTTTTTTTGTCTAGAGCTACTTAAGCTTGAGGCTTTTTACCAGACCCCAAAGCTTTTTGAAGGGCTGTCATGTGTATCCTTCAGGCCTTGGCTTTTCCTCTCCCAGGATTAGGACTATCAGCCTACATAGACCTTCACACCAACAGAGAACGTGTTCTGCTGTTTCTTCTTCTTGGCAATATCTGCACAGGCTTGTTTCTGCCACTCTGAGTCTATACATATGCCTCCGGAGTCTGCAGTGTCCAGTTAACAGTCCGACTATTATTCTAGTCCTAGTACATCCTAGATTTATAATAGTTCTGCTATTATTTCATCGATTGTCCTTTGATAAACTTTTTCACTTGCCTTTGTCCCAGGCTACATTCCCATTGAGAGGAGAACTTTTTATTAATCCATTGTCTAATGGATCCGCATTTTTGGCAGTTTGGTAAGCTACAAATGGATTCAGGGCCATAGGTGTACTTACTGAACTTTTTTTGGCCAATTTATTGGCCTCTTCATTGCCCCTCTGCCCTGTCTGCCCTGGCACCCAGACAAGGATATTTTTGTTATCTTTTCCCAATGTTGCTCTTAGGTTAAAATAACAAAAGTTGCACTCAAGAGAAAGAAACGTACTCAGAGTGCACCAGACCTTTTTGAATTCAATCTCTCAGATTTGTAATTAAAAACAAACTTTATTCTAGAAAAAACCAAAGTAATGATTTAAATTGATTTATATTGGTTTATGAATTTTGTCATGATAGGTCAAGTGGTTATTGAGCCGAAGGTCGTGGTTCAAGTCCCGTTGTGAAACTAATTTTTTATCTAAACCACACTTTACATAAAAAAATTATAAATCAATTTATTCTGGAATTTTTAGCCCCCTTGAGTAACTAATTATGAATACAACATATTTACAAAAGATTCATGCATAATAAACAACACATTACCATAATAATAAACAAAAGAAAACTAAAAATGATTAATTAAATACATATCATTGGTGCCAAGTTGTAAGGACAAAAAGTAATTTAAAAAAATGGGACTAAACAAAGTTAGAAGAGAGATAGGGCTCAGCGGATAGAGTGAGGTAATAAAATTATATATATAATTTAGAAACAGAGGATTGTGAGTAAATCCAGGTTCGAGGCCAGATTGGATGAGAGCAACAAAATTTGAGTTCTCTAAATATGTAGATCTTCACTACATTGCAAGAAATTGTAAGTATGGGGTGGTTTTTATTTTACCTTTTCGGACTTTCTTCATGTATCTTTTTATTAGAGAGAAAATAAAAATTTTTGATATTCATTGGACTTTTTTTATCCATACCTTGCATCACTTCATGTTAGACTAATAAATAAAATCATACACTAAATTTATAAGTTTGAACTAAGGTCAAGTTGTACAAAAAGTATCCAACATATATAAACTTTAACCGTTCGCCATACTTGAAATATTTAAAATAGCTACTACCAGTACAGAAGTTAGTAATGAGAAAATATATTTCTTGGCAACCCGCTGAGACAGTGATCTATGCAAAACTGGCTTTCAAATAGCAAAATTTTCATATTTTAACAACTACTTTTTTATAAGTAAAATTGTAGCTTAAAAAACTACTATTTCCATAGAAATCGATGGCTTAAAGATTAATGACAGTATTATTGATAATCAATAAATATGCTCTAGTATAAGTTGGCAGTAATTAAAAGACAGTTTCTATTTTAAAAAAATTGAAATAACTTATTTATTACACTATTTTGTAACATAACATACGTACATTATTAAGTAAAATAATTGGCAAATGTGTATAAAATAGAAATTGTTTTACATAAAAAAAAATTCATACAATCATCTAATAAAGTAGTACCACATTATAACACTAGTTTACAATTATTTGAATAACAATATGAAAAAAATTATTCAAAGAACACGAAAAAGAAGATATTATTGTCTACACACACAAATTACAAACACGTTAGTATTTTTATACAACACAAACCAGTCCTGATTAACTTACAAAATAAAATTCAGACATCTATTCTGCACATACAATAAATAAAATGCTTTTTTTTAATAGTAATTGTGGTTTTAGACCAATCACACTTTAATTGTGTAGACTTTAATTACAATTAATGGAACAAAACTAAAAATAGTGATTTCTAGTACCCATCGATGCCCTTTGTACCAAAATTTAATAAAAGTAATAAAAATAATTAAGTCTACGTTTCGCATTTACAACAGAACATTTTTTAACGATATGTTCAACATGATGAGATCATTAAAAAAAAATGTAACTATTAATTTGGCACAGATTATTTTCAAACACATTTTATAAGTTCATACAATGATATAATTATTTAACAATTGGTTGTTAATTTTTTCTTTTTTTGGTGATTTTTTTTTTGTTTTTTGTTTTTTTATATCAATTTGGCATTTGAAGAATGACAAGAAAAGGATGAGAATGCAATTATTCTCACGTTAACATGATAATCACAAATGTCACTTATCTTCATTTTCTGCCTTTGTGTCCATCTTTTCCAACGAAAAGTGATCAACAGCGACATAAGATGCCGAAAAACCCTTGCTAACAATTGTATCGTCAGTTCTAAACCGAACTAAAAGAGCTTCATTCACTGATATAATATCAGTGGGATTCTAAAAACAAAACAAAAATTATGTTTTTATTTAATAATAACTCAAGTTAAATTAATACTTACATTATTACCGCAATATTTTCCAATTAAGTTGCTTTCGTCAAGCCCTGAGAAGACTTCGACGTAATCATACGCACAGTCTTGTTCATCCTCGATTTCAAAAGTGAGGAAAACCAACTGGACAAGTTGACCAGGCTCGGCTTCAATTGACCAGTCACAGTCAGCCCGGTTTTCATAGTTGTGGTCACCATATTTTGAATGAGAATAAACATGTTTTACTCGACTCGTTGCTTTTAAATGACCACCGCAGGCTGAAAGGGAAAGAATTAATTAAATTAACATATATAAAATTTTGCTTAAATTTAAAGTACTTACCGGTTGAGTGAGATGCAAGGAATCCTTTCCTCTGAACACTAGCATCTGTCTTAAATATCATAAACATTTGATTCGAACTTGCGATTATTGGATGTGGAGCTTTTGAACCGCAAAATCTCCCAAGTGTAAATGCATCTGGCGAATCACCATCGTAAACAGCAATATGATCATATGCACATTCCTGATGAGGCTCCAATTCAAATTCAGAAAATATCTACAATAATTAATATTAAAATAGCCGTTCGTCCTTAAAATTATAAATATACTTACGAGTTTTATCCTATGACCGGGAGTAGTTGTGAAATGCCAGACGCAATCTTTCCTACTAGGATAATAGTCTGGGTAGTTTGGAGATGATACGACGCCAGTCGGTGATCTCACGTCGTATTTACATCCGCCCTCTTTGCAATCGTGACCGTTGTCATGAAGAGTGAACCCATTATGGCACCAGCAACTATACGACCCTACGGTATTCCTGCATTCATGTTGACAGCCTCCATTATTCAACGCACATTCATCCATATCTGAAATTCAAATTATGAAAATTAAATTAAAGTAAAGAAATATAATCTGTTTAAAACATACCAGTAAAAAAACGTGCGGCGAAGCCTGATTTTTGAATTGAAGAATCTGATTTAAATTCAAGATGAAGTATGTTGCTCTCAGACGTAACTAAAGATGGGAATTTTCCACCACAAAACACTCCATGATTGTGAATAATTTCTGAACTCATTTTAGAAAGTATTTCAACACTGTCATATTCACACTCTTGCTAAAAAAAAATTTAAAAAAGGAAATTAATAAGGAAATATATTAAATGTTGATCCTAAATCTAACTATTCTTGTTGTATGCTATTGTAAATATTTTCAATAACTTGCTGATATCACTAGTTTAACTAGTTGAAATTTTTTTACTTATAACACACTCCACAAAGTTCTTCCCAACTACCTTAAATAAGTAAAGGAACATATAGCTTGTACTGATTGTACCTGATCATTCTGGTCTGGCAAATCATGTCTGAATCAGCACAATCAAGTTTGATCAAGGGATAGAATCAGTAAATTAGTTTTTTTTAAATTAATATTATAATCCTTCAAATTGGTCATGCTGTAGAAAGATGGCCTTTTTTTTAGATTTTTAAATTTTATTTTGACAAGTTTTATCAACCTCTTTTGTTTGAGAGACTGTAAAAAAGGAGCAAAATGCTCAGAAATGTTGTGTAAATAAAAACGCAACAAAACATCTAATTCGTTTCTGGCTGAAAAATCCCACTCTACACTACCGTAAATATTTAGAAGAATACCAGAATACAGAATTTAGACAAGTGATAAGTAAAGTAATTCCTGTCATACAAGAGGGCTTAATGGCCAACTACCCAATGTGTACCGCTATACTTATTTTCACATTATTTTCAATCAAAAAGCCGGGATTTGAACCCAGAGCCACTAGCGTAGCAAATAGAACCCAAGCATCCTAACCATTAAGCCCCACGGTGGCCAACACAATTTATTTAGTATATTTAATTATTTTTGTGTGGTGATTAGTGACCGTTAATCGATAATTATTCAGAAATCGTGAGATGCGGTCTGGTGTTATAGGTTTCAGAAAAACATTTTCTTTATCATGCCAACGTTTCGATCTTTATTGAGATCGTCTTCAGGGCCTGGGATTTACAAATGTTTTTTCTGAAACCTATCACACCAGACCGCATCTCACGATTTCTGAATAAATATTTAATTATTATTGCCCTCAGATGGTCTTAGACCAGGAAGAATGTCTTTCTAGTTTGTTTATATATTTTACCAAATTCCATAAAATTTATATATTAAATACATGTAATAAAAAAATAAAATAATTTAGTTCATTTCTAGTTTTCTTACAAGATTCTGTTTATCAAGTGTAGTGTTGTAAAATGACTTTAAAATGAAAGATAGTCTTTATTTATTCTGAAGAGTCCATCTTCACTCAAGTTAAGAACCAAAAGCTAATTACTGCAGGGAAAACTAGGCCAAACCCCTAACAATTATTGTTTAATTTATCAGCGGTCTGAAGGATAATCGATTTCTATTTTGGTCATTATTGATCATTTTGGTCTGCCTATTCTCGCTGTGTTGGTCTGTCAGGCGTGTTTCTGCTTCCTTTACATTCAGTGACCAATACAGCAAGGAAACAAAGACCAAACTGACTAATGGCCATATTGCCTTGCAATTATTTAAGTGTAACTTTACAATGTCGTAGATAGAGAATTGAAAAGTCTACGTTTATGATGCTATGAGTCAAACCCGTTATAAACAGTTCTGTGACAAAGCAAAAACCAGCCACTGAAGTCCCGCAGCCCATGAAGTACAAAATGGTATGCAGAACCAATGTTTAATACATTTTCCATATTATATTTTTTACCCAATATTTTCATAAATTCACTAATTTCGTGGTCCGCTTGACCAATTAATATATTATAATTAATTAAGGTTTTTAGTTGAGATAAAAAAATCAATGGCATGAGTGGGATTCGAACCCACCATCTTCGGCTTGATACGCCGCTGCTCTACCACTTGAGCTATCGTGACTTTGATCCACTCGGACACCAACTTCCCATCTCAACCGCACCTTTTTGAATTTTCCCTCCTTTTTGCTTGGAAAATTCAAAAAGGTGCGGTTGAGATGGGAAGTTGGTGTCCGAGTGGATCAAAGTCAAGATAGCTCAAGTTGTAGACCAGCGGCGTATTAAGCCGAAGATCGTGGGTTCGAATCCCGCTCGTGCCATTGATTTTTTTATCTCAACTAAAAACCTTAATTAATTCCAATATTTTATTATAATCTGCAATTTTTGATTAGAATATATAATTTCATAAACATAGGTACATTTACAGCTATTTACATATTTACATTGTGGAGAGCAAATAATCAATATTCTTCTCCTACTTCACTTCGTTAAATAAACTTCCCTTTTTACTCCTCAGAGATCATTTCCTCTTGAGACGCTCATGGGATTGGTTAAAGGATAGGGGAGATTATTGTGTAACTAGGTAAATTTTTGGGGGATTATATTTTGGAAAAATGGAATTTTAAAGTCATTGTGGAGGGCAGGATTGGAGACGTTGGATATGGGAAGGTTTAGCCGTTCCTCGTAATTCTATTCCATATGTCGAAATTGGTTGTAGTAGTGTTTTGTAAATTATACGTTTGTTTTTCATCTATAGCTTGGATGGTCGTCCTATAAATTTGTAGAGTAGACTGTAGTGTCTGTTTAGACCTTGTCGTATCAGTCGTATATGCTGATTTCACATTAGGCATGAGTCTAGATGGTAGCGTACGCTGTCGGATTTGGGATTGTTGTAGTAAATTGTGAGAGGAGATTTGTGTTGAGTGTAAATATGACATGGGCACATTTGCTTCCATTTTTCATTTTCCATTTTCTACAGAGACTGCTGTACATCAAATTATTACCAATTAAAATTCCAAAGGCTATGATGGGATGTAAACCCAGAACAGCCATGTTCCTTTTTATTTCCTCATTAAGGTAGAAGCCCTGAAGATGACAGCATAAAAACTGTTGAAAGCTCGGCAAAAACTGAAAGGAAGTTTTTTTCTCTGTGTTAACCTCTTCCATAGATCCTCCGAAAAACTTCATTTTTATTTGTCATATTTGCAGCTCTAGGTTCAAAACCCAGCATAGCCCATAAAATTTCAACTCCCCCCCCATCATGTCCTCCTAAACTTTAATATTACACAGGATTCAGTATCCGTTACTTGATGAATCGCAACAGTTGAGTTAAATCAGAAAAATCTGTATATTCTAGAAGATTAATACAATTCAAGTAAAAAAAGAAGCTGCTATTGATTTTTTTTTAATTAGAGATAATTAATAGACGTAAAAACATAATTTTGAAGTTATGGGTAGTTGAGAGGTTCAAATATTCAAATAATATATAACGGAGGATAACAAGAGATCTCTGACTCATGGAGTAGTGTGCTGCAGCCATGCTACATCAGAAGATACAACTGTACGAAAAAAAGAAAGAAAAAACAGTGGAAATGTACAAATGAGTACTAATATGTATTAATAAAATAACTATTGGATGATCTTTATTGCAAAGTACCATAGTGATTATATAAATTGTTAGCATCGATGTAGGTCCATCTGTTGGTTGGTTGGTGTGTCAACCAGGCCTAATTTCTGTTCTGACTATCAGTCTAAGTTTAGAATTTTGTAAAATTATATTTACCTGGTAGACATTGTTGCCTTCAAGATCGAAATGTGTGAAATTCAACGTTATCCTGTATTGAGGAGGTGCGATCACTTCCCAGACGCAATGCTTATCGGGTGGATACAGGTCAGGAAAAGATGGGCTTGTTATGACCCCATTTGGCCCATCCATAATCCCACCACAAGCATCTATGTACAAAAAAATGTTTATGAAGTTTAATTTAATTTGTTTTCTTTTTATAATGCTTACCTTCGCAGTGTTTCCCATCGGAATGAAGTTCAAAGCCAATTTTACAAGCACACTCGTATCCACCGAGCGTGTTGATACACTGCTGTTCACAACCGTGTTCAAACAAACTGCATTCATCTAGTTCTATAGACAAATCAGTTTTTAAAAAAAATATTATTATGATTTTTAATTATTAACGCTATCATTCCAAGAAAAATTTTTACTAAAAGTAAAATTTTACTATTTGGTGTACTAAAAATAGTTTGTAGAGTAAAAAAAATTTTTACATGAACAAAGAAAGGACAAATCTTAGGAAATATTCAAGTTAGATGAAATTGCAGGATTTTATGACATTGCAAAAAAATTATGGCAATTTATATAATCAATATGAAAATTATTATAATCGGTATTTAATTAAAATATAAATATATAAAGTAATGTTTGTGTGTACAGTATAACAATTTTATTCGGAAAATAAATGGAAAATAACGAAAGATTTGAGTCAAACTTTACCTTTCATATATGCTGCTGCAAATCCTGGTTTCTGCACAGAACCATCTGAGACGAATTTGATCGACAGTTTGTTTCCAGTTGAGTGTACATCGGGTGGAAGTTTATACCCGCAGTATTTTCCAATGAGAGGCGAGTCTGCTTCGTGTCCATCCCGTACTTCTACATAGTCGTAGACGCAGTTGTCGTGCTTTTCAACCTGTCGACATTTTTTTTTTTTTTTCATAAAGTCACTGTTTGACTAACAAGTAAGTATTTTCATACCTCGAAACTTTGGAATTTGACAGCGACCTGGAAGTCCTCGGGAGCAGTCAATTTCCAAATGCATTCCTTGTTGTGCTGGTAGTCTTCGGGGTAGTTGGGCGATTCAAGGTGGCCGCCCTCATCAACATCAATCTCTCCACCACAAACAGCTATAAAAAAAATATATTAAAAAAATTCAAAAGTACTTATAAAAAATTTAAGAAAATTTTTAAACTTTACCTTCGTAATGTGCAGTAAAGCCTCGGTGACCTGACTGCTTAGAGTTCACAGCGTATGTAAGAAGCATTCTCGCCCCAGTGCTCACGACCAGATCCGTCAACTTTTCACTACCACAAAACCTGCCTAAAAAAAATTTAATAATGTTAATGTACATTGAAAAATACATATTTAACAGTAATTATATTCATAATTTAAATATAAATCCTGCCTAAAGATTTACTGCATTATGAAATTACATAGTTTATTATGTTTTTAAAAAAAATCCAATTTGCGTCTACGTCTTTATGAAATGAAAGTCTGTATGGGTTTATTCATATTCTTTCAACAAGAACATATTCAGGGTTTAAAAGTTTTAATGCAGCATGCTAATAAACCTTTTTTCATTAAACAATATTAAAAAAATATGTTAATCAGTTTAATTTTTTTCTGTTTTTATTAACAATTTGTGTACTGATGGTACCCACCCTCGCTGTCTGATAGAATTTCTCTTTTTTATATATACAGTGTGAATAGTTTAAATGAATGTTATAAAATTAATGAGTGATCATTGAACTTTTCACTTTTTCTGTATTTTTATTTTTCAATATTGTAATTCATTTTGCCTTTTTTCTAAAGAGATTATGAGAAATAAACAGATTACATTTATGCAATTATCTCTTTATATAAAGAATGATAAATGCAATAAAAAAATAAGAAGTTTAAAGATAATCTCTTATCAAGATGGTACAGCCATCCAGCTCTTCTTCATTTTCTTTTCTTTTTTTTTAACTGCCAATTTTGTTGAAAATCACTAACCAAGGAGAGCAGATTTATGCCAGTATCCGTCCCTTATCTCCAGATAATTGTAACGACAATCGACGCTCTTGTAGATATCCAAATGAGTTATGTTAAGGACAATCCTCTCTCCGTGAGTTGCCGTGATCCTCCATTCGCACTTCTCCCCTTCTGGAGGTGGAGCTGGCACCTTGACGTGCGAAGGCGATACGATGGTCGCTGAATTTTCCTGATGCGTCCTGCCACATTCTGGAACATATTAAAAAAATAAAGTTCTGTGTTTTTTTTTTTTTTTTTTTTAACAAATTCAAAACAAACTCTCTTAGCCTTCTGATTAATCTTTTTACGCAAAGGTTAGATAATGACCCTGATCATTTTAATACTGATTGCACTTTCCGAAATATTATTTTCATTTAGATATCTACAAATAGTTATCTCAAGTATTAAAGGCTAGTGAAAGAAATGTACAACGGGACTAAACTTACCTCTCTAATAACAAAAACCTTTCTAATTAATTATTTACCCTGATAAGTTTGATGACTACTAAGTTTTAAATCAGTCTTTCTTGCACATATTACAGAATAATTTTCACAACACAACTCATCAAAATAATAATACTAAATATTTTTGCATTATCGGTGCTTTATGTTAAGTCCTGTTATACCCAAATTTACGGGTAGGCTCATTTTCTTCATTTCGTTATGACCAGCCAAATATAGAATCAATCTTTGATGTCACACATCAGAATGGTCTAGTTGTAATCTTTGAACACACCAATAAGTTTTCAGCAACCATTATCTCAATAGTATCGTACAACGGTCATGTTGGCCATTACTTAACCTAGTGTCTTATCTTTGAAATATTTACTTCTTAGTTCAGATATAGTGCTTCATTTTCATTTAGGCCTGCTACTGTATCTTTTTTCGGTGGTTTGGGACTATTGAGTTTTGCCAAGGCACCACATTCTGGTATTGCAGTCGCTTGGAATCTACTAGTAGATAATTGTCCTTCCTCTAGCTAAGACTATAAAATATGGACTTGATATTTTTATTTGCAGTTTGTTATGAACAAAGCCAAATTTTTTATAAGATTAGGCATTATTTATATTGTGATTTGGCTAAATTGTAAAAATTTGTCTTTTCTTTTGTTGTATATAGAGAGAAAAGGTGAGAATGATAACAATTGAGTGTCACACAATGTGCAGAGATATTGGAAGTAGATGAGGATGAGAATGAGAGAGAGAGTGAGAGAGGGGGTAAAAGAGGGTGTAAGAGAGAAAGTGGGAATGGGAGAAAAAGAGTTAGTTGTATAGGCAAAAAGATTGAAAGGAACAAAAAACAAAAAAGTTGTGAATGATTGGAAGTAAATAAAGATATTGAATGAGAGAAATAGAAGGAGGGAGGGAGTGAGAGAAAGAGAAAGAGAGAGAGGGTGGGAGGGAGAGAGAGAGAGAGAGAGAGAGGGAGAGAGAGAAAGAGAGAGAGAGAGAGAGAGAGAGAGAGAGAGATTGAAAAGGATAGAAAAATAGCGATGAATATTCGCAAATTGATTGATTGGTTGAGTTAATCGAAGTTAGGTCTCATAGACTTTTCTATACCTGAACAGAAAGTGGTAAAAACAGTCACTTCGCAAGAAAAAAATAACAAGGAATAGTATCTGAAAGAGAAACTGCGATAAGTTGAGAGAAAGAGAAAGAGAGAGATTGTTGGACACTGAATTGAAAATTGGCTGACAAATTGGCAAAACAGATATGAATATTGACCGAAAAGAGAAATGAAGAGAGTTAATTAAGAGAGTGAAAAAGGAGACAGATAGTAAAAGAAAAACAGGAAGGAAGAGTGAGAATTAAAATATGCACATATTTTTATTTACAGTTTGCCATGAAAACAATCTAATTGTTTATAAGATTAGAACATTATTTTTTATTTATATTTTTAGCATTTTTTTTCCAGGTACAAAAGACCTGTGGACAATCTCATTGTGTAGGTGAGTTTATATGAATTATTCATTTATTGTTTAATTATTTCAGGCTAATTTTTAACACAAATTTGTATTAATTGTTTTAATTGTCATTGTTGCATGTTTTTATTGGTAGTATGATTATTTCCCTACTGATTAAAATGTTGATTGTTTCCCATTTCCTAAGCAATTTTTTACTTTTTTATTACAACATTATTGAATGTCCTTTCTTTCAGAGATTAACAAATTAATAGGCGGAAATTTCTCCAATTGTTTAAACTTGACAATTCGTATTGCAGAACAAGATCGAAAACACGACAGGAAATCCTTTAAATGTTTTTCACTCTTTAGTTATATATATTATTTAGATAAAAGAAGAAAAAAACAACGCAAGCAATATTTTTTCGAAGGAAGAAACATCGGTAAATCTAAACAAGTTTTATCTGATTGTAAAGCAGCAATAAAACAGCAATAAAACTTACTTGGACATTTGTAAAGGAGATTTGTCTGTGCGATGTCTCCCTCGCTGAGGCGGACCCTTTGGCCTATTTCGGGCTTCCTTTTCCCTCTGCCGTATTCCGTCGGCTGTATCGTATCAAGATACGTTCCCTTTAAAACCAAAAACAACAAATAATTACAACAATTATTCAAATATATATAATAAGTAAAAAAAGTCTGTTTATTTGGTAAATTCTTGTAACTGTATGAAGGATTTGTTTTTGTTCAAATGGTCAACAATATTTTCCTATTCCCGAACTCTAGTGAAAATTATCAAAATCAATATTGAGAAATGCAATTTACCATTATTTAAAAAAAAAAAGCTAAATTGGCTTTATCATAATTTTTTAAAAATATAATAAATAGAATTTCTTAATTCTTCTATTCTTAGTAAGAAGTATTTTTCCTATGATGATAGGCCAGGTATTATTTTTTATGTCAAAACAATGTTAATATTTTATTATTCGGTCAAAAAACACGATTATTTTATTGATAAAACTATTTGATTTAACAAGTATTCTCTATCATCGATTTGTTCCCAGGGAAAAAATTTATTAAAACACCATGTAAAAATGTAATTATTTAAAGACGATTTTCAAATAAAAATATGACTTTAGAGGCTAATAAAGACAAAGTTTTGTTAATCTAGACTTAGTAAGCAAAGTAAATATCTGAATTTATGTTAAAAACAAAAGAGAGAGAGAGAGAGAGAGAGAGAGAGAGAGAGAGAGAGAGAGAGAGAGAGAGAGATAAGGGGGAAATATTTGAGAAGGAAAGAAGAGCGAGGAAGATAGGAAGATACAAATAATGAAAGAAACCGGGGAAAAGTTGAGAAAGAAGGCTGAGCGAGAGAGAAATAGGGAAAGGGATAGGGGGAAATGGGTTCAAAAGGACGGATAAAAGAATGAAAGAGAATGAAAAAAGTTTTAGTTTATAGCATTAGTTATATAGTTATTTTATATATTAGTTTGTGTTAGAGAGATTAAGTGAGAGCGTGGTAGAAATAGCCACATCAGGAGGGAAAAATAACGAGAAATAGTGTGTTTAAGAGAAACTGATAGATCGAGAGAGAAAAATAAAAAAATAGATAGATTGTCGAAGACATAGCAAAATATTATGAAGATTGACAGAGAAGAGCAGAAAGAGGTACAGAGAGTATAAGAAAAATAGTCAGGAAGAATTAGAATTAAAATATGAACTTGACATTTTTGTAAAAAAAAAATCTAAATTGTTTATCTCCCCCCCTCGCTCTCTCTCACTCACTTACTCCCTCCCTCCCTCCCTTCCTTTTTCTCTATTTTCTCATTCTATTTATTTCCAATCGTTCGCAAATTTTTGTTTTCTCTTCCTTTCAGTCTTTTTTTTACACTTTCCTTCTTTCTCACTCTTTCACTCATTCACTCACTCACTCCCTCCCTCTTTCTCTAGTTTCTCATTCTATTTTTCCAATCGTTCGCAACTTTTTTGTTTTCTATTCCTTTCAATCTTTTTTCTATACCCTCCCTCTCTTTCATTCACTCTCTCTCACTCTCTCTCTGTCTCTCTCTCTCTCTCTCTCTCTCCCTCTCTCACAATCACTCACTCACTCACTCCCTCCCTCTTTCTCTAGTTTCTCATTCTATTTTTTCCAATCGTTCGCAACTTTTTTGTTTTCTATTCCTTTCAATATTCTTTCTATATCCTCGCTCTCTTTCTCTCTCTCTCTCTCTCTCTCTCTCTCTCTCTCTTTCTCTCACTCACTCACTCACTCCCTCCTTCTTTCTCTATTTTTTCATTCTATTTATTTCCAATCGTTCGCAACTTTTTTGTATTATCTACCTTTCAATCTTTTTACTATATACTCCTTCTCTCTCTCTCGTTCTCTCTCTCTCTCACTCACTCCCTCTCTCTCTCTCACTCACTCCTTCTTTCTCTATTTTTTCATTCTATTTATTTCCAATCGTTCGCAACTTTTTTGTTTTATCTACCTTTCAATCTTTTTACTATATACTCCTTCTCTCTCTCTCGTTCTCTCCTTCTCCCTCTCTCTCTCTCTCTCTCTCTCTCTCTCTCACTCTCTCTCTCTCTCTCACTCACTCACTCCTTCTTTCTCTATTTTTTCATTCTATTTATTTCCAATCGTTCGCAACTTTCTCACTCCCTCCCTCCCTCCCTTCCTTTTTCTCTATTTTCTCATTCTATTTATTTCCAATCGTTCGCAATTTTTTTGTTTTCTCTTCCTTTCAGTCTTTTTTTTTATACTTTCCTTCTTTCTCACTCTCTCACTCCTTCACTCACTCACTCCCTCCCTCTTTCTCTATTTTCTCATTCTATTTTTTCCAATCGTTCGCAATTTTTTGTTTTCTATTCCTTTCAATCTTTTTTCTATACCCCCTCTCTTTCTCTCTTTCTCTCTCTCTCTCTCCCTCTCTCTCTCTCTCTCTCTCTCTCTCTCTCTCTCTCTCTCTCTCTCTCATCTATATCTAATAATATGGTAAAAAATCTTGAGAATGAAGGATGAGCGAGCGAGAAATAGTGAAAGGGATGGAGAGAAAATAAGTTCAGAACGAAGGATAAAAGAATGAGAGAGTTAAAGAGATAAGGAGGAGATAGGGTGAGAGAGAGAGAGAGAGAGAAAGAGAGAGAGACAGACAGAGAGAGAATACAGGCAGATTGTGATGAATGAGAAAGATAAAGAAATTGTGGAAAAGATAGAAAAACAAGTATGGATATTGACAAAGAATATAAGAAAGGGAGGTAACGTTAAAGACAGGAAGAAAGAGTTAGAAAGATGGTGAGAGAAAAATCGAAAAGGAGAGAAAGTGAGAGATAGAGTCAGATCGAGAAAGAGAGATGAAAATAGAAACAAACCAATCTCGTCAGTTGATTATTTATTGCATTATTGAACAATTAAACGATTGTTGTGCTTCTGAGAACTGCAAAACATCACGAACAGTTTTATAATTAAATCGCGTTCATTTTGGCTTATTTGTCGACAATCAACATTGACAAATATTCACCAACTGGGAAATCAGTTAAATAAAATTTCTCACTTAAAAAGTTAAAAATAATGAGCATACCCTATTTTGAGCATTCTTCGCCATTTTTCTTATGGAAGTTGGGAATTGATAAAAATTGTTATTTAATGTTTAATTTCAAACTTAGGTAGAACGGAGATTGAACAACAACGAAGAGGCGAGAAAATAATTTCAACGTGGGGTGTAACGTCGAAGTACAGCAGCTTCCAAGAATGAGAAAAGCTTCGACAATAATAAAACCAACGCAGAGGTTGAATTTTAAATTCATTTGTTATGAACACTGATTTTTACCGACAGGACAAAATATTTTTTACTGGTAGAGAAGAAAACTTAAAAGTTTTCTCTGGTTTGTACTGTTTTTCTTTTTTTGAACTTTTCAACTGTTGAAGTTTGACTAGTCAATTTTTTTCTAGTTCGATCGATTTTTCAGTAACTATCAGTCATTACTGAACAATCGATCGAACTAGAAAAAAATTGACTGGTCAAACTTCAAAAGTGGAAAAGTAAAAAAAAAAAAAAAAAAAAAAAAAAACTACAAACCAGGGAAAACATTTTAAGTTTTAAAAAATAAAATAAACTTTTTTATTAAGTTTTCAGTTTGTCTTGGACANTTTTTTTGGTGGTGGTTTCGCCATATTGGCCATGGGTAAAACTACTGTGATAGATGTGTATCAAAGAAGGCTAAATGGTGCAGCACAGCTACATCCAGGACAGGACTAGGTTGATCAGTGGAGGTGGAAAAATGGAAGTTTTTAGTTGGGATATTTCAGTTTCAAGAATTTTTGCGATTAGATCCTTGAATGGTCGGTTTTAGGAGAGATCAAGCTATGAACTTGTTCCCACCAAGGTTTTACCGATGTCGTTAAATCAACCATTATACCTCTCACTTCAATATCGGCTGCCATCGCTTTCTGGGCGTGATCGAAGTTTGGAAACGGTTGGATTACGACAAGCCGTCCCATGTCCGATCCGGGCCAAACACGACTTGTCAAATTACAGTTTCTGCCATTGAAAGGACCCTTGGATGAAGTATGAATGGTCCGCTTAAGCCCGCTTAGCCGACCCGACCTCACGCTTCCATTATGCAACTTTCAAATTCGAACTGTGCAAGAGGAGAAAAAACCTGCTGGAACCAGAAGAAATTTGCCTGGGTAATTGTACAAATTAAAAACAGTGTGGATCGGAGAACATCTGCATTGCAATGATGACCTTTCCTTTCCTTTCGTGTTTCACCGGATGGTGTGAGGTAAGAAAATGCACATGGATTACAAAAGGCTATGACATAAGTCAGAGGTCGTTGACAAAAGAACCATCACGAGATTACATTTTTATAAACAAAAAAATATTTACTTTCTAAAAATTTTTAAATTACCTTGGAAAATGTATTTCTCGCGTAGTGCATTATAGAATCATAGTCATAAGCAAGACCTAAAGAGTTGACTTCTTCCTCAGTCAGTTTGTTGAAGTTGTACTCTTGACCTAAACAAAAAATTTAAAAAACTGTCAAATTCCCATATAAAAATTTCAAATTCGTCTTTAAATTTCTTTTTGGTACCTGACATAATGTTATCCCTTACAATTAGTACATGATTGTCTCTGTCGGGCCTCGTGTGCTCGTGCCAGAAGCCTACGACGTGGCCCAGCTCGTGGACGACAATTCCAAATTTATCGCAATTTTTACCGATCGATATCGCCTGAGGGCCGTTCCCCCTTCTGCCGACGAAAGAACAACATCTGAAACAATAAACAAATGATTTTCCTCTCCTTTTAAACACCGGTTGCCTAGAAGCCCCAGAAGGAATATGAGTTTGGCAATGGAAATCAATAGGACCGATAAAAAAGAGAGAATAAATCTGCAAAAGGTATAATAAACGGAACTCCAACAATGATAAACTGTACATTTTTACTTTTTTTGTTATCGGTTTTCTTTAAAAAAATAAAAAAATTTCATGTAAGTAAAATATTAACAAGTGTTACAGTTAATAAAACAATTTATGTTTGTCTTTACCGACCATTTTTGTCTTCCTATTCTTCCTGGGTTGATCTATCAGAACGTTTCGGAATTTTCTCCGTCTTCAGTCAACCTGTGAAGTTTTCTGCACACGCCCTAACCACTTAGAATGGTTGTCATTGTCGATGTTTTGTCTCACCTTTCCAATTGTGTTGGTTGTCTTTAGTGCTTTAAATTAGCCAAAAATTATAGTTGATTTTTTTTGGTCTGCGAGTCGGTGAACTCGTTGAACCGGCACACGGGCACTACTGGGGCGAGAGTTTCTCACTGAAGATGGCGCAATGCCGAAACGCGTTTGAATATCTCAAACACAAGACAGACCCAGTAGTGCCCGTGTGCCGATTCCAAATAGTCAAAAATTGCAGATTTTTTGTTTCGCTTTGATTTAAATACTTTGTAAACTAATCACATTAAATTGTACGATGCTATTGATAATAAATCCCTTTGCAAAACGAAAAAAATTGGAGCAATATAGAAATGAGATTTTAATAGTTTAATGCCACGTAGAGGCGGATAAACGTACTACAGAGGGTACAATTTGCCATAGTAATTAAAATACTAAAGGCTTGGTCCCTTTTTCATATAGGCGGTGTATTAAAAAACTAAGTAAAGCAAATGATGAAGATGGGGTGAGTATGTAGATTCACCAGGCACATGTGTTGCGAATAGCCGAATTAAGTAAACTTTTGCGCATTAGAAAAAAGAAAGCAGATATACACAAAAAGACAGGAATTAAACCGCGGACTACTATATAAATCATTATCGAGAAAACTGATAAAAATTGACTAGCAAGAACTGAAATCTTGACAAGAGATTGGAACTACCGAGACTTCGCTAAACCTTACAACATACAAAAATACAGTATTTCCAATTCAAAATCCTCAGAAGTGCAACATAACCTCTAGGTGTGGAAATGCATACATTAACTAAGATATAAGTAGAAAAAACATAGTACACAATTTTTATTTAGAAATCGTGAGATGCGGTCTGGTGTGATGTAGGTTTCAGAAAAACATTTTCTTTATCGTGCAACGTTTCGATCTTTATTGAGATCATCTTCAGGGCTCAAAGTGTTTGTCTTCTGTGTAATTGTGTCATTCTTGCGTGTAGTGTGGGCATTCTCGACACGACACGCAAGAATGATTACACAGAAGATAAACACTTTGAGTCCTGAAGATGATCTCAATAAAGGTCGAAACGTTGGCACGATAAATAAAATGTTTTTCTGAAACCTACATCACACCAGACCGCATTTCACGATTTCTAAATAAATATCGATTAACGGTCACTAATCACCACACATAGTACACAATGGATAAAACATAGATGCGATCAATAAACTCAGCTAATTGGTTTTTAAAAAAAGTTTTAATTACAAAATTATATACAATAAAATCTGTTATTTTTGGCTAAAACTTTTTTATGAAAAAATCCATGTTCTAGCGGTGTTGGTGTAACACAAAAAATAGGATTTGCATAATTTTAAAAAATTGTGTAAAAATACGATCCTAAGGAGAAATTTACTGTAAATCTAAAACCGAATAGTGTAAACTATTTAACCCCTTATCTTTTTCCAATATCCTATATATAATTTATACTGCTGACGTACCAATACAACCTGACACTATTATCATCACCTACGCGGACGACACAATCCTATCACCTAACTCGAATCCTTTCCAAGATACAAGATACCTCCAACATCCAGGAACACCTTGAGCTCATCGAAGAATGGTGTAAAAAATGGAGGACAAGACTGAACGAAGAAAAATGTACTCAGTGTAGTTTTACGTTGAAGAAGCAATCTTGCCCTCCATTGCACATCAAGAAACGAAGTCAAATTTGCGGCTGTATCTTGACAGCAGACTGACGTTGAATCCCCACACACAAGACATAAAAAACAACTTAATACAAGACTTGGACGACGAAGACTTCTAAGACCGAAATCGACTTTGACAATTAAGACAAAGCTAACACTGTACAAGACCAATATGGACATACGGAGTGGAACTGTGGGGTACTGCCAAGCCTTCCAATTGTCCAAGCACCTTATGCTACTAACCTCACTATCCACAATGACCTCAACATTCCTTATGTCAACGAACTAATCCGGTCCAGATTCCAAACCTTCCACACCGACCTTTCGAACCATCCTAACCATACTGCTCGAGCCCTCTACAGTCATTCCCATCCTGACAACCAGCCACGTCTCCTCAACCGACGGTGACCTCGGGACCTCCTTGACACCTAAGCAATGGCTGGCTCCTCAAAGCATGTGTTCTACCGGTGCAGTCCTGGCATTAGTGCTAGTGTTGTGCTATAGTATAGTACTATCATGTATAGGTAACAAATAAATTAAAAAAAAAACTTTTTTCCAAATGAAACAGGTTTTACGCCTTTTATGTCTTTTGGATTTGATTTATTTGGGAGTACATTTAGACTTAATAATTGGGGGAAATAAAGGATAATAAAGCGGTACTGTGGTACACAACGAGTTGGATGGTAAGACCTCCTGTATGACAGGAATTACTTTACTACCTGTACTTAGTAAGTTGACACCCTGTATTGTCAATATTTATTATTGGTATTTAAGTAAGGAATTGGTTGAGATAAAAAATCAGTGTCACGAGCGGGATTCGAACCCCCGACCTTCGGCTCGATACGCCGCTGCTCTACCACTTGAGCTATCGTGACTTCGATCCACCTGGACACCAACTCCCCATATATTTTAGTTTTGATATTCATTTGTAGGGGACCATCGTGGGCCGAATGGTTAAGGCATCCGACTTGTATTTGTTCCTAGGGATTCTGTGATTGAATCCCACAAGAGTGGTTTGACCCCTCATCTGTGACACCTAACGGGTAGCTCAGCTCAAGTGCAGAAAAATCAACAGGGTCGAACACTTCGATTTTTCTAGTTGAAATAGGAAAAGAGACTGACAAAAAAATCCTCATAAGATCCGACAGCCAAGCATTCATAAAAACCACCATTTGTCGCCGAGAATCAAATAGATTACATGACATTTTAAAAATAGCAAAAAGGAGGGAAAATTCAAAAGATTGAGATGGGTGTATGGTGTCCGGGTGGATCGAAGTCACGATAACTAGAAGGTCGTGGGTTCGAATCCCGCTCGTGACTAACTTTTTTTATCTCAACCAATTCCTTACTTAAATATTAATTAATTGAAAAGAATTTATTCGGTCAATCGGACCATGAAACCTAATCGATTTATTATTGGGTTTTATGCATGCAGATAGATCGAATAAATTGGAGCAATCAAAGATGGAGTCTGACTGGATATAAAGTTACCGTAAGTCAGGGCATCCCTAACTTTTCAGGCAGCGGACCCCTTTCACAGAACAAAATCTAGGACGGACCCCTCGCATTCAACTATTTAAAATTAGCTACTTATAGTATATGCGGTAAATTAAAGTTTTATAAATTAGCCAGTCCATTTCTTATTAGGTGATGGAGAGAGATATCGCTATGAAAACAAACATTAGGTTGACATACTCTACTAACAAAATCTGGAAGACAAAAATCATTTTGGACAGAACGGAATCAATAGGTAAGTCAAATTCGAGCCAAATGCAAAAGTAATAATTTGAATATTAATGATTAATTAATTAATACGAAGAGTGAGGTTGTTTTAGCCTGCACAACTTAGATATGTTGCGTTTAATTTTTGATAGCTGGAGATGGATGTCGGGTTCAGCAGATAGTTGGTGGCTGTACATACAGAAAAACGGATTCGCATAGGTAATTCATGGCAAATGAAAGAACGCAGTTTTCTTTTTCAACGAGCTGAAATTTGTTTTCCAGACGGAGTCACATATGGGGGAAAGTATCAGATTTGAAAGTTGATTTCAAGGTGGAGTCTCAAGTAATGTATATCAAATTCGTATTCGCTCGAAGATAGACTTTGTCAAAACTGAAAACGGTTTGACCACCCATTGTTGGTCATGCAGCATATCGAATTATTGGGAAGTGGTGCTCAAAGGACATCTCCCAACTTCGAAGGTGTTCACATATTTCATCAATCAAGCAAGCTCCAGTTTGTTTTCTTTGAAAAAAAAAACATTTAACACAGGAAAACCTCTTCTTTCTCAACAGATTCAACCCAAAACTGGATTTTTCCTTTGAATGCGTCAACTTGGTCAGTCGAAAATTGTGATATCCTTCCCATGCAAAGAAAGACTCATCTCATTCATTTTAACGAAAATATAATAAATACGATACACATTGTATCTCATTCATTCTCATCATTGAAAAAATTGACCAATTGTGGTCCATAAACAGAGATAAGAGTTCAGAACTAAATTTCTGTAATCGTGAAGGATTTTCCCGCGAGATAGCCACCTCACTTCTGTGTGAAGAAGTTTTAAAAAAATATTTTAATGGTTGAATGGATAAGTGATAAGCATCTTATAAATTTTTTCTTCAAAATTCAAGGATATAAAATTGATGGTAAATTGTAATTGTTTGTCGGTGTTTCAGGTAGCCTTCAACTTTAAAGTAGGTGAAAACCGTAGAAGGCCTTTGTAATTTAATGAGTTCCCAAGTGAAAATGAGAAGTTAATCAAATAAATTAAAGTGAATTTTATCAGAAATCTTCCCTCTCTTAGTCGTCCCAGGGACCGCTTTTCAGCCATTGACAGAAGACAACATGGTAGAGCTACGAAACCAAGCGGACCCATGATTTAAAAAAATATTAAGGTTCATTTAAAAATCATATTTAACCTTCTGAATAGAACGTTTTATAAGATTGAAGCTTCAATCGTTAAAACAAACAGATAGCAATAGAAAAATTTTTACAGCGATTTTTTTTTTAAATTTAGTAAGTGTAAAGTGAAAATGGAGCAGATTAATAAAATAATAATAAAACATTAAATTTACCCGCAGGCTCTTTCGGTGAATACGATGAAATTTGAATGCTCGTCTGGTACCCTTTCGACAAACTTGACGCACGTGAAGTTCTCCCAATGCCTCATCGCCTGTTTGAACAGTGTTTTGTGCATGCCTGAAACAATGGTAAAAAACTGTTAAAAATTCCTTTAATATGAGATTTGTTCTCACCTGAGAAGTTCCCGTCGATTTCGTACGGGATGACACCGTGCTCCCACACCCTTTCCTTCCGGGCAGTCGCCGCCCTGGCGATCCTCCTCAACGCTTTGTCCTTTATCGTGAAAGCGTTGATTATTTCGCCACTCTCCCCAGTCAGCCTCCTGAAACGGCGACAATTTTATTATGTTTTGTTGCAGAGTTGTTAAAAATTTAAAAAGGTTTCGTCAAAAGTCCAGTTTATCCACGTGTGACAAGTTAATCGATTGTCAAGCTGTGTCCTGTATGGCAATTACGGCCACGACAGTTCAAACTTTTGTTAAACTTGAAATAAAATTTAAAATTAACGAGAAACCCATCCCAAATTTACACCAAGTAATCGAAAATATATCCCTCTCCTATTACACTTTTGACTAATACTTTATTTAATTGATCCTCTATTCATTCAATAATTACTTACTAGTTAAACGAAAACGACAGACCAAATATTTACGAAATGCTGGAAAGATTTTATTAAACCTGAAAGGTATTGGTTGAGATAAAAAATTAGCGTCACGAGCGGGATTCGAACCCACGTTCTTTCGGCTAATCGAGGTCACGATAGCTCAAGTGGTAGAGTAGCGGCGTATTTAGCCAAAGGTCATGGGTTCGAATCCAGCTCGTGACGCTTTTTTATCTCAACCAATACCTTTCATAAATATTAATTAATTGAAAAATGTTAATTGGTCAATCGGACCACGAACTGTTATGGATTTTATTAAAACCTTTTACATTAATTGTACTCTGATTTTAAGATGGCTTATGATAGATCCTCAATTGTTGGTGTCTAGACAAAATAAATCAAGTGAGATGATTTTGAAAGGAACGATGGGAAGATGGCTGTTGAAAATGAATCCCTCACTGAAAATGGCGCAAATCTGAAACACGTTTGAGTGTGATACCGATACCAATGGACAGACAAGTGACTAGTGCCCCAGTTGAAAATGAAATCTTAGAATTTTCAGTAAACGAAAGGTGATCCAGCCCATATACTAATTAATTTGATACTTAAGCTGGTAATATAAAGCTGAGTGATTAGTTGGTATGTGAGGATGATGAAGGTGGCTTGGTCGCAAACAGTTTGAAAACATTCAACGAACTGCTTCAAGGAAGTTCAATCGCCTGTCAAAAGTTTCTCTGGAAGCTTAAGAGCTCTCTTTTACCTTCTACCTTAACGTAGTAGGTAAAAGACCTATTAACCGACATATATACTTTAAGCTATCAGTGGATCTCTATCAGCCGCATATTGCGAAGATGCAAGGGTAGCCCAAGGAAATATCTTAAGACCATTCTCTTGTATGCACTTCAGACATCCCTATCGTTTCTGGAACTATCTTTACTATGCGGATCATACCGCCATCTTTTCCTCTCATAAAGAACTAGTTATTTCAACCAAAAACCACATATCTTTTGGGAAGTGGTTCAAGCTGTGGAAAATGACAATAAACGTACAAAAATGTGAACATGTTACACCAGCTAGTATTGCTACATAGATACGGTATGGAGATAAGGATACTAGGAAGAGGGGTTTGTACTCCACAGGCACTGCAGCCTTCTGGCTTACTGTACCTTCCTAGTTACCTAGTTCAGTGCAATAGACTCAATCTTTTTCCTTAGAATTATCAGGACATTGACTGTCGCTGCTTCAATTTCATTTCCTAAGTTTTTTTCGTATGTTAGGTTAAATCTCCATTGAGCTGCTGCTTCGCATTCGAAGATGATATGGGTGGCTGTTTCCACGTCTTCATTACATAATCTGCAGATGGGATCATAGTTGTATATGCCCATGTTGTGTAGATGTTTTTTCAGATGCCAGTGACCGGTTGGTAGTCCTACCACTCATCTGAGTTTGGCTCTCTCCAGTTGCAGCAATGATTTTACCAGTCTTGGTGAGGGTTGTTTCATCATACGTTTACTATGTCTAGCACCACTAGAGTTTATCCACTTCTCATTTTGTTTTGTTTGGATTAATTTTTGCGATAGATGATTCTATATTTGTTTTTGTTATCCCTAGTATAGGTTCGGAGCCTATGAATGGTCTTGCGGATCCTCCTCTGGCCAGTCTGTCTGATTTCTCGTTACCCAAAAGTCCTCTGTTCCATGGTACCCAAGATATCAGGTTATTGTGTTTCCTCAGGTTTTGGAGATTTTGGATGCATTCACTGAATAATTTAATGTAATTCTTTTACATGTTAGTTCTTTAATGGCTGCTTGGCTATCAGATCTTATGTGGAGTTGTTTGCCAGTGTAACCTCTTTTAAGATTTTCCAGGACACCAGCATTGATGGCATGTATTTCTGCTTGAAAGACCGAAGTGTTCTTCCCTGAGTTTGATTGCTCATGTTTTGGGCTTGTACAGAAAACACCTGATCCGGTTCCTTGTTTTGTTTTCATCTGTATATATATGATGCTCTCCTGTGTTCTTCCTCTCTTTTATAGTTTGTTGAGATTTTATAGAATGCTGTAAATAATGTTTCCGGGATCATAGAGTCAGTCCCCATTTCTAGGAATGGGGAATTTTGTTAATTATACTTGTATGCCCAAATTGTTTAGTTCCTATCCATATTAATTGTTTTTGGAACTTAAGTGAGCTTTTCCTAGCCTCTCCTAGTATAAATATTTTCAGTGGAGGCAGGTTTAGCAGAGTTTCTCGTACACTTGTAGGGGTTGTTCTCATTGCCCCTGTGATCATAGATTTGCTGTCTTTGTATGCTGCCTAATGTTTGAGTAGATGCTTTTTGTTGAGCTTTGGCCCACCAGATTAATGATCCATATGTTATTTTGGGTGTACATTAATAAACGACTTATTTAGAACTCACCCGCCCATCTCAAAAAACAAAAAGAGTATGGGCTAAAAATGAATATAGAAAAGACGTGAGAAAAGAGAAGTGGGCTGGGGTAGGGAGGGAGAGAATGAGAATGAGAGAGAGAAAGAGAGGAAGAGTGAGTAGTTTAGACAGAAAAATAAATAAATAGAAGACAAATATAGACAGCATAGAATATAGAGTAGACAGCAATTAGAAAAGAGAAAGATAGAGTGAGGAGTGAGATGTGAAAGTGAGAGAGAGAGAGAGAGAAAAAGAGAGATAGAAAAACAGAGAGAGAAAGAGAAAGAGAGAAAGGGAGAGAGAGAGAGAGAGAGGAAGAGTGTGTAATTTAGACAGAAAAAAACATAAATAAGAGACAAATGAATAGAGAACGATTGGAAAAGATACATATAGGGTGAGGAGTGAGATGTAAAAGTGAAAGAGAGAGAGAGAGAGAGAGAGAGAGAGAGAGAGAGAGAGAGAGAGAGAGTGAGAGCTGGGAGAAGGAGAGAGAGAGAGAGAGAATTATGTATATAAGAGATATAAAGAAATAGAACAAGACAGGTTACTAGGGTTATAAGCAGGGCGTCATGCTTAAAATGCAAAATAATTACATTTTTTCAGCCAATGCTAGCCAGGACCTTTTATAACATAATTGGTCAGGGGTACCGTCTGCTTAAAATCTATAAGGTTTTCATAACAAAATCAAATTCCTTTTGTTTTTACAAAAACCTACTTTTAGAGCCATGAGCTAATTTTGGCTCAAATCCTTTTCTTGGTGGACTTTGGTCTTTTGGAGTTTTGGTGTCTTCACCGGTCGGTTGGAAAACGGGTTGAAGGTTTTCCCTTTACATTTGGTTTCTAAGTGCTTCTTCTCAGCCTCATTTCCTTTGTCGACTGGAAAAGGATTTCATTTTAGAGGAATGCATTTAGTCGGACTGAGCGGACTTCCTAGCGTGTGCTTTTGTTGACAAGGTCCCACTAAATCCCTTATGCGGCGCGGAGGGATATAAATCTCCCTCCTCTCGCTCATAACTTTCCCTTTCCACAAACGTGTCGTACAACGGAAATTTGTTCGTCTCGGGGACGGGGGTGGTCGGGAATTTTTATGGAATTCCGCTGGGCAGGGGAAGAGAGACCGAGCTGAAAAATATCCTTTCTGGTTTTCCACCGTTTATCAAATCGCGCATTAAAATGCAAACCTTTTCGATCTGTCCATGATACATAGCTGTGCTTTCTACTATACAAAATATAAATTATTTAAGTCAGCACACAGTAAAGCATTTTACATTAGCGTTTTGTGGTTGAACGCTGTTATTACTCATTTTGAGCTTAGTTTCTGGACGTTAGAATTTCCGTCATATAAACTTGTTCCATTTACTTCAACAATTAAACTTTCTTCTCGGTTTCAAGTATAAATTCATTACATCTCTGCCAGAAGGAAGTGAGAAACAATCTTACACAGTCCTTGCTAGAGTTAACTCTTCATGTGGGAACACAAATGAAGACCCCAATTATCCCCGGGTGCGTAAATTTATAACAAATTAAATCATGCTTTCAGGCTACCCCTTTATCGTTAATTAAGTCCATGCCTTTCCGCACAAACAGAGTGGAAACAATCGTTGTGTTTCCCTCTCAATTAGGCCCTTTACGGCCGGTTACAATTTTCTGACAAATCACGGATATCAATTGTCGATGGACGTACTTCAAAAGCTCAATGGTTTAGACTTGTACACGAGGACTTCTCTGTCAACACGTCTGGTGAAGGGAAAACGGGAAAGTACGTTTGAAACGTATGGCTTTGGTGATTAACAAGTACTGAAACGCCTCGGGGGAGAAACGTGACGTCCAAGATTCTCCTGACCCCTTTCCTCGTGATTGTCTCTAACGTGAAAAAAAAGTCAAGCCAAATTATACGCTGGCTTTTCTTTAAGTCGGACTCGCCGGTGTGCAACACTGTGAATAACAGCTACGAATGAGCAAATATCTGAAGTTCTGATGTCGATTGTTCAATATTCACTTAAATAAAAATGATAATCGCAAAAAGAATTTGACTTATGTTTCTAACTTTGATTAATTTTCAATTGACATTTCTTTTAAACAAAATCCCATAAATATTGTGAAACATAGCATATAAGCAGGGAGAGGCAAAATAATTTTCATTTCTGCTAATTTTGATTGGATCAAATGCAAATTATTAGACTTTGTATTGCATTATAGCTTTATTCCAGTTGGCCAAAGTGTGTATATGATAGTGCTATCAAGCAGTTGAATATAACAAATTTCTATCATACGGAAAAGGTTCGAATCTTTCACCTTCAGATGCATCCTTCTGACTTGTAGCAAGAAAATTCTCCCAATTTGATTTACTTTCGTTTTTATCAAAGTATCATAGTTTTAAAATAGATACCGTTGGCTATTAGAGACCATCGATAAATGAAGCAACGCAGGGATATACGGAGGGTGGTAAGACTCTTAGCATCTGACAAGTTTAAGGTCCGTCTAAACGCGTTTCGGCACGGTCTTCAGTGAGGAACGTCCTGTCCGACTAGGGATTTTATGTAATTGGGTCCCTCTCGCAGACCAATACTCATCATCAACTTAAATGTACATGAGCTTTGTATTGTACAGTTTGTTTATTCAGATTGGACAACATATATAAATCGGTATGTCCTATCATTCTGTTGAGTATGTGCTGAAGAAAATCGCACAACGGAAAGGCTATGTAACGCCTTCTTGGCAAGTTTTTTTTCGAAAACGAATAATTTACCGCCTTTATATCTTTCATTATCTCTTTTCTCTCTGCCTTTATCGGACGCACAATCCACACAAATCTCTTTCTCTCTCACTCTCTTTCTCTTTCTCACACACTTCTCTCTTTTTTCCTTCTCATTAACACCCTCTCTCTCTCACACACTTCTTTCTTTTTTTGTTCTCATTAACTCCCTCTCTCTCTTTCACTCACTTATCTCTTTTTCAATTGTTCTCATTAACTCTCTTTTGCTCTCTCTCTCTCTCTCTCTCTCTCTCTCTCTCTCTCTCTCTCTCTCTCTCTCTCTGTCTCTCTCTCTATCTCTCTCTCTCTCTCTCTCTCTCTCTCTCTCTCTCTCTCTCTCTCTCTCTCTCTCTCTCTCTCTCTCCCTCATCAATACCGAAACATACAGCGCAAATAAAAAGCATAAAATCATTCAGAATAAAATTAGCAGTTATCTTGTTTTATATTTACTAAGTTAACTTCACATTATATACTTTTACATTAAGTTGTAAAACGTTACCAATCATTTTATTAATATTTTATTTCATTTTTAAATTGCAAAATATTGTTCGCATTCTAGAAGGTTCTTAATCTAGTTTTTAAGAATCTTACGAAAAATCTATATCTAATCTATTTTGTTTATATAAGTTGTATTATATTTACTTATTTAACTTTAACAGTACTTAGCCAAAGTCTATTTATTCTTGCGATTTTATTCAATAATAATACGCTCTGTATAAGAATATAACTTATAAGTTACTTATCTCACTTTAGTCATTTTTCCAATCGACTTTTTTCTTTCTTCTTTCTTTCTCTCGTTCGCTTTCTCACTTTTACTCTCTTCTCTTTCTTTCTCTTTAACGTCCTCTCTCTCTCTATCTATCTATCTACTTTTCTATCTATCTCTCTATCTATTCTCACCTTACTCTGTCTATCTCTTTCCCAACTGATATTTCTCTTTTTTCTTCTCTTTCTTTCATTCTTTGTGTCTATACCGCTCACTCTTTTTCTCTTATTTGCTTTCAAACTTCCTCTCTCTCTCTCTCTCTCTCTCTCTCTCTCTCTCTCTCTCTCTCTCTCTCTCTCTCTCTCTTCTGACTTTCTCTTTTCCATCTCTTTTTTCTTCTTCTGAAACTGTTAATTTGAATAAATCTAATTTATTTTAAACAGTCAGCCCCCCTACACCCTAGCTAATTATGCCTTCGTATGTGTCTTAATTAGCGTTGATGGAAAAAATAAATTGTGTATTTTCAGCTTATTCTGAATAGATGTAATGATCTATTGACTATGCCCTGAATAAATAATGCTACAAGTCTTGTCATATAAATCGTGTCTCCCTGCTTACACCCTCGCAATTTCTCAACTTTCAACTTTTGAGCTTTTGGTATATCTTTTATCTACGTAACCTATCATATCTTTCTACCTATGTCTATGTATCAATTAATCAACTAATACTATTAATTCTACAGCCCTTTATCTTTTATTCTCGATGGAATCCCTGTTTAAAATAAAAATTCCTTAGCGTAAAGAAACAATGCTGAAAATGACTCAGAAAAGGTTCCGTCATGATTTATAACTTCAATATGTTTATTATGGTCTATCAGTTATCTACTCAGACGCAGGGTCGCCCATGGAGGCGTATTGCGGCTAGACCCATCCGGATTATAGGTAAAGCAACCTGTCGTACCGCTAGAAATAGAATAATCCCAATACCTGCTCCCGGGTAGACGAAAATTCGCTTTTGTACGGATCCGCCTTCGTCTCCTGTGCCTTCTTTTAGGAATGCCGGTGTTTTTCCTTCCTGGCTTCCTCTGCAACGGCGACATACCTTCTTCCTCAACCTGGAGACCTTCGTGGAGCACTTCCTTCTTCATCCTTTCCATATCGTCAAGATAGCTCTTTCTCCTCATCTCCTCGACCTCTGAATCGTAACGTCCGTCGTGTAATGCTATATCTCCAAGAAAGCCTCCTGAAAATAATTTAAAAATATGTAACTACTTAACTTTTAACGTGTAAAACTAAGCCTACAAATTTTTTTAACACCATAGCCTTCCATCATATCAAAAATATTTTTATTTTTTAAAATTTATAGATCAATAATAATCATAAATCATAGCGAGCAATGCTGAAAAAAAAATTTAAATGGAAATTTCAATAAACTTGATATGTCTATTTGACAATAGGTAATTTTATTATGTCTTGGCTGTTAAAGTATTGAAAATAATTGATGTCTCCGAGTGATATTTTGATGCACAGAGTATAAAATAAAAGACGAGCAATTTTGATCTTCATTTCCAATTCTAATTCACCGGAAACAATGCATCCTAAGGCACAATTCCTTTAGGATACCGGATCTTTCTAGCAATAAGAAGACCCATTTTAATTAAAAACATTTCTCCCTTTGAAAAAGGTTTGTTATTTCTAGAGGAATTTAAATTAACTTTAATTGCATAAAGAGAAAAAGAAATGTTTTCCGAAAGAAAAAATATATAAAGGTGTCTAGAACAAACGTAGACAGTACAGAAGAAATGAAAACAAAGGATGTGAATTTTATTCTCCCTTCGGTATGTGGTTTCTGACCGATGTTAAATTGTGTATGAGGGATAAATTTGGCGGTCCCTAAGCCTCTGGTTAAAACAGAAACCTGCTCTCAAATTATCTCACATATTCAGCCTGTTTCAATGTCCCATCCAAACAGGGGGATACCACATTCTCTACTTAATTCCCCCATGTAGAACGGATAAATTTACAAGAGGGATTTTGACCCGAATCCCTTTCTTTTAGGGTTTGAAACTCGTGTTTCAAATTCCCGGACACCGGGCCCTCATAAAATCACTCAAGTTTTACCTTGTGTTTTTTTTTTGTTTTACGCGGGTTGAAAATGTAAACCCCCTCAAATTGGGAAAACATGGCGAGGCTACGGTCGTGGGAGCCTAAATATTAATGAAACTTTTTTGGTGGTACTAGGTTGGAAAATATTAGACCCCCTGTACGTGAGTTCTTGCAGTGGTCCCTAGGAACCAAGAAGAAAATATCTAAGCTATACTTATTATTATATTTATTATTATATCAGTCGATTCACAATGTTACCTAATACGAGGAAAAAATATACAAGATCGCATTAAATGAGATTAGATATATATGAAACGTTACAAAAACCAAAAACAGTAAGGAAGGCCGTACAAAATTTATTTCGAAAATACTTCATTTTAGACACTATTTGAAGCCCTTAAATACGATTTTTTATAACAAACAATAAAATAGACATTTTTGGTTTTGATAAGAAAATATTCGGATTCTTTTTAAGCACCATTTGAATTTTGTAAATACGAGTAATTGTAACAAACAAAAAAATACCCTTTTTTGGTTTTGGTAGGAAAAAAATTCTGATTTTTTAAGCACTATTTGAATACCGTAAATACGAATTTTGGAAACAAAGAGAAAATAGACTTTTTCGTTTTGGTAAGAAAAAAGTCGGATTTTTTTAAAACACGATTTGAATCCCGTAAATACGAATTTTGGAAACAAAGAGAAAATAGACTTTTTCGTTTTGGTAAGAAAAAAGTCGGATTTTTTTTAAGCATCATTTGAATCCCGTAAATACGAAATTGGGAAACAAACAGGAAAAAGATTTTTTCGTTTTGGTAAGAAAAAAATTCGGATTTTTTTAAGCAGCATTTGAATCCCGTAAATAGGAATTGTAACAAACAAAAAAATAGACTTTTTTGTTTTGGTAAGAAGAAATTCGGATACTTTTTAAGCACCATATGAATCCCGTAAATACGAATTATTGTAACAAACAAAAAAATAGACTTTTTTGGTTTTGGTAAGAAAAAATTCGGATTCTTTTTAACCACCATTTGAATCCCATAAATAGGAATTGTAACAAACAAAAAAATAGACTTTTTTGGTTTTGGCAAGAAAAAATTCGGATACTTTTTAAGTACTATTTGAATCCCGTAAATACGAATTATTGTAAGAAATTTAAAAAGACTTTTTTGGGTTTGATTTTTTGGGAAGATTTTTTTCCGATGTCCAGTGTTCCACATAAATATGCTTAGCTCCTGTGGAATTTTATCCAATTTCCACGGTATTATAATCGTTAGATAAATGAATCTTTCAATCTATGTCAGTTACTTATTCAGAAATCGTAAGATGCGGTCTGGTGTGATGTAGGTTTCAGAAAAACATTTTCTTTTACGTGCCAACGTTTCGATCTTTATTGAGATCATCTTCAGGGCTCAAAGTGTTTGTATTCTGTGTAATTGTGCCATTCGGCACTCTCTACACGACACGCAAGAATGGCACAATTTCACAGAAGACAAACACTTTGAGCCCTGAAGATGATCTCAATAAAGATCGAAACGTTGCACGATAAAGAAAATATTTTTCTGAAACCTACATCACACCAGACCGCATCTCACGATTTCTGAATAATTATCGATTAACGGTCACTAATCACCACACATATGTCAGTTACATTCACATTTTGTCATTACATGGGCAAAAATCTATTTAAATGAGATTAGATAAATAAAAAGTTACACGGAGCAACCTGAGTTGCAACAGCCAGATCGACACTGAGTAAATTGACGTAAGATCAGATTAACTGATAAGATAGGATGTATCTAGGAGAAGAATATCAATTATGAACAGCCAAGAAGACGTATCATTGATTTTAAACAGAAACTTATCTCAATGCGTTTCATTCACATTCACATAAATCTCAATTTAGCGAATAATAATCAATTAATCTGGGTTGAATTGTGGTCATTTAGGTCAATGAGGTCTCTATATTTTTTTTAAGAAGTAAGTAGAATTTTTTCTAGGTCTAATTGAGATTTGTGGTTTGAACTGTTGAAGTTTGTAAAATTTATTATTTTTTGTTTTTTTAAATACAAGGAATCGATCGACCATATTAGACGTATTTTATGATAAAACCATCCAGACGAATAAGACTAAAAAATATCACTTATCTGTTAAAAATTAGATGTAACCCTTTATCTCTTGGGCTATTATTAGTCAATCCGGATACGAAGACTATTTAATATTTCGTTAAACTATCCCACCCCAAGAATAGAATTTGTACCGAAATAAAAAAATTTAATAATGTGCAAGCTGGACCCTTGTGGCACAACGATTCACGATTTGCCAAATTATCTCAAAAAGATGCATTACCAATTATTCTCGAATTTCTTGAAAGAACAAGAAACTAAATAATAACGAGTGTAAAGAAATAAAAAAAGATCCCACCTTAAAATTAAAAACTATAGTTCAAACAGCCATAAAAAATAGTGACTTTTTATTCTCAGATGACCAATATGCAGTTAAACAACTCAACGAACCCGAAACCCCCAATGTTATACGGTACAGTCAAAATTCACAAGGAAAACAAACCTATAAGACCAGTAGTGTCCTTTTATAATTCCCCATGCCATAAACTTGCAATTGCAATTGATAAAATAACTAAAACACACCAATTTCAAACCTACATTCGGTATTAACAATTCTTTAGAATTGATAAAAAAATTAAATAACATCAATATACCCAACAACTGTGTTTCAATGGTTGAAGCTCTTCTATGGTCACATTATACATCCCAAAACATTTCCTCCTGCGTGCTATTGTAGCTCCTCAGTTTGTTAGTAGATGTGTTGGTTCTCCCCTGCCTCTTTGCAGAATCTGCATGTGCCATTTTGGATTATTCCAATCTTCTTTAAGTGGCCATTTAACTGGCAGTGCCCTGTTAGGAATCCTATTAGGATTCGCAGTTATTCCTGCTTCCTTTGGCACATTCTTTTCTTCCGAAATTGGTTAGAAGATTCTTGGATTGTCTGTGTCCAATGGGTGAATTCCATAGTTCTCTCATTTTCTTTTTGTCCTTGTGTCTGAGATACTCGTTAATAGTGTGGGATCCTACGCCACAGAAGGGTTCAGATCCTGTCAGTGGTGTAGCAGTTCTTGCCTTGCTTGTCCGCTTTCTCGTTGCCTTATACTCCCATGTGTCCTGGGACCCTGCAAAGGCTGACTTATTCTACGTACCTAGCAAGTTTATTTATTTAGAAATCGTGAGATGCGGTCTGGAGTGATGTAGGTTTCAGAAAAACATTTTCTTTATCGTGCCAACGTTTCGATCTTTATTGAGATCATCTTCACAGCTCAAAGTGTTTGCCTTCTGCGTAATTGTGCCATTCTTGGGCACTCTCGACACGACACGCAAGAATGGCACAATTACACAGAAGACAAACACTTTGAGCCCTGAAGATGATCTCAATAAAGATCGAAACGTTTGCACGATAAAGAAAATGTTTTTCTGAAACCTACATCACACCAGACCGCATCTCACGATTTCTCAATAATTATCGATTAACGGTCACTAATCACCACACGTACCTAGTAAGTTTAGTTTGGTTTTGCAGTTCAGCACCATCCTTTAACTAATGATATTTGAGCTTAGTGCTTTGATGGATGTGTGGCCATCTGACATGATAGCTATATCCTTGTTTTTGTACCCTTTACTTAGGTTAAGTTGGGTACATCTTTCGATTGCATGAATCTCAGCTTGGAAGATACTGGTGTATTTTCCCAAGGGTTCTGAGTATTTGGTTCCAGGTTCAAACACTCCTGCCCCTGTACCTTGTGTTTTAGATCCATCTGTGTACCAAAGGATGGTGCCTCTCGTTCCTATTCTTTTTTAGTACCTAGGTTTATTCGGAAGTTTTGGTTAAATTCAAACATCCTGTTCATGTCGTCTCTTGGAGCCATGAGTAATGGATGGTCTTTCCATAGTTTGTTGCTATCTCTCCATTTTAGTTTTATTCCCGTTGGAGGTTTCTCTTTGGGTAAAATTAATTATGGTTTTCTGCGCTGTCCATATTACCATGTGGTGTAGGTGGATTAATCCCAGTACTTTTTCCATGCTAATTGTAGGACATGTTCTCATTGCTCCTGTTATGCAGATGCATGCA